GTGCATGGAGATTTGCTCTCATCTCATGTTTGTGATAGATCACCATGCCAAGGATGGCATATGAATGGGTATAAAACCCTGGCACATGTTACAGGCTTTCAAACAGGCTGCATTATCAAAAGAGGCTCATTGTGAGTGGAGCAGTTTTTGGCAACCTGACCTGCTTGGAGTAGATGTGCTGCTGTTCCTTCATTGAGGCCCCAGAGAGCTGCTCGATTCCTGAGCCATCGTCTTGAGATTGGCAGTAGCCTGACCTCACAACCGTTTCCCTCCCCACCCCCACCTCTGAAAAGGGAAAATAGGCCTAAACTTTCCACAGTAGGCTTAGAACAATTGGCCCATTGGAGCTTTCGAGGAGATCTCAAAGGTGGGGGCAGTGTTCATTTTAACTCCACAAATTTCACTTTCACAATTTCACATCTATGGCCACTCATTCAACTTCATATCCTTATCACCTCCCGTCTGGATTCTGTTATATTTAAGCTATCAATGGGGTCTCCCTTCTTTTTCGGTAGAGAGGTAGGGGACCACAGATGCAGAATGGAACATATGTACTATCAGAAATATCCACTGTATCTGTTTTGTTCAATAATTTTTCTTTGTTATGGGACACAAGGGTATATGCTTGTGAAGAGGATGGCAGGGAGATATATCTGAAAAATACTGTGATATAAAAACAAAAGGTTTCTGAAAAAATCTTTTTAAAGGTACTCTTTCATTCATAGTGATATTACATCTACTCTCTATATATTTTGTGTAGGCCTATTTATGTACATATTGTCTCCTCAATTAGTGTGTGTGTGTGTTGTGTGTGTGTGTGTGTGTGTGTGTGTGTATATGTTTTCCCCTTGGGAAGGAGTGACAATTTTAGTCTCAGTAATTTACAAAGGCTCTGAACTTACGTGTGTAGGGAAGACAAGGACAGGGGCTAATCCTTAGTCTCAGGATTTTTAGTGTCTCACTCCTAGCAGTTTTTCCATAAATCTTTATTCCTTTCCTTCAATTCTTTGACAGTCTTCGTAGCTAGTACAGTCCTGCATTCTGACACTCTCTATCCACTGAAGCCGGTGTCTTTAGGACAAGGATCCTTGCATTTGAAACAGATTGCATGGAGTTCTGCTAAGCTCCCATACACATCTCTCTGGTCACAGGTCTCAGGCTTCCCAATCTGTGTGTTCTCTCTCTCCCAAAAGACCACTGAGCTCCCAAAACTAGGCCCTGTTTGGTCTCATCCAAAGGCCACTCCTCACAAAACTTGAAGAAATGCTAATAACTGCTGGCCACCATCTTGGGCCCTTGCTGTTTGTCACCCCTCAAAGGAAGGAGTCCTCCATGAGAACATAAGCCTCTTAAGGGCAGAGACTATTTTTGCTTTTTATTTGTATCCCCAGCACTTAAAATAGTGCCTGGCACAAAGTAAGTGCTTAATAATTGCTTGTATATTGATTGGGACATCCAGATAGAGCCGTCCAGCAGGGAATTGGAAGCATGGGACTGGAGCTCAGCAAAATGATCCAGTCTGGAGATGGAACCAATGAGGCTTCTGCCTTCCCTGAACTGAGTTGTATTTATTATTATGAGGACAACCAGATGGTTGTTGCTGTACCCCATTAGCTTTTTTTTTTTTTGCTAGGCAGTGGGGTTGAGTGACTTGCCCAAAGTCACACAGCTAAGTATTAAGTGTTTGAGGCTGGATTTGAACTCAGGTCCTCCTGACTCCAAGGCCAGTGCTCTATCCACTGTGCCACCTAGACCATTAGATTTTAATAGGAAAACCTTTTGCCAGGTCTGCTTCATAGCCAGCCGCTGCACTCTTTCTCCTCTTCTTCTCCTCTCTGTATCGCTTCCTCTTTAGCTGGATATTCTCTTGGCATGACCTTAAGCATGTTAGAAGTGGGGTACCTGGCCTCCCCAAAGCTCAGTCCTTGAAGTGGGATTCTTGTTTGCCTTTGCTGTTTGTAGGTGGAGGTCTGAAGGAGAGTAGGAGCCAGCTAACCCACCCCTCCCTCCTGGCTCACTTTCACGTTCACAGGCATGGTTGGCATGCTGCTGAAGTCCTTGGCTTTCAGGGCAGGGCATCCCGCAGGGTAGATCTCAGAAAAGAGAAGGCTCTGTCTTCCTTGGGAGAAGTTTAAAGGTACCATTGGGTGGCTGCCCACGGGGAAGATGAGATGTTGCTTTCATGTCCTCTTCAGTCTAAGAAGTAGCAACAGGCAACCACCTGGTCTGTGTTAAAACTGGCTCAGCTCAGGGATGGCTATCCTTTGGATTTTTGGAGACATTTATTTACTAAAAAAACCGTCTCCTTAATTATGGAGAAAAAACAAACTGCTGAGGGATGCGGGCGGAATTTTTGAAAATGGCATCTAATTAAGAGTTACACCAACAGTGTGACTCTTAACAAGGGCTGGTGCTGGCATCCAGTCCAAATTGTGCAGATGCACTCACCAATGGGGTCCCCATAGCAAGTAATTGCTGTATTCAGGGGCGACTCAGTTGCTGCCTTGGAAATAAAGGACCTCCACCCCTTCCTGCTTGTTCCTTCTAGCCCTCGGCCTTGCATCTTGTTACCATGGAGATAATCCTTCCAAAGATGACAACCAAACAGTGAATGGGGAAAGAATCTGAATGTACCCTGGTGCAAAATGACCAAATGTGAGTCTTTAAAGATGTGAAGAAGGATTCCCAATCATCATTTGTGGGAACCATCTCCAACCTTTTCTTTTACTCGTTCATTTGTCCGTTTGTTCAGTAGACGTGGAGGCACCCCAGCAGTGCAGGGCCCTATCCTGGGTGCTTTGGGAGAGATAGATGTATAGGATATTGGCTTTGTCTTCTAGAAGCTCAGAGTCTAAATGGAGGGTGTGTGTGTATGTGTGTGTGTGGGGGGGGGATAAGACATGGACACAAATACAAGTCAAGATGTGACAAGAAGGGTGCAGAGTGCTCTCTAGGGGCTTCAGAGGAAGAGGAGATCTGATCTAGTAGAGGTGAGTCAGGGAAGGTGAGAAATTCCTTCCAACAGCAGAGAATCCGGTTAAGCTCCTACTATGTGTCAGACACTGTGCTAGGCACCAGGGGATGCAGAGACAAAAATAAATGCAGTCCCTGTCCTCAAGGTCCTGGTGGTACCAACCCTTGGTGCAGGGGAGGGAGGAGAGTGGACTGGAACTTGTAATCTCTGGGGAGGGACCACAGCAGCTGTGGCCAGCTTAGAGGGATCATCTAGGTATGGCTCCCAATGGACTGATCAATGGTAATTGACCTGCTGAGGAGCCCCGCTGTGGGGAATGTGATTTATTGTAAAGCAGATATTTATTTGTGTTAGAGTTAGAAGAAAGAAAGGAAGGAAGGAAAGAAAGAAGGAAGGAAGGAAGGAAAAGAAAGAAAGAGAAGGAAGGAAGGAAATGAAAGAGAGAAGGAAGGAAGGAAAGGAGGAAAGAAGGAAAGGAGGAAAGAAGGAAGGGAGGAAGAAGGAAAGGAAAGAAAGAAGAAGGAAGGAAGGAAGATAGAAAGATAGATAGATAGATAGATAGATAGATAGATAGATAGATAGATAGATAGATAGATAGATAGATAGATATCCTGGGGCATAGAACTTGATGCTAAAGTTCACTTCTTTTTCATTTGGGGGGAAGGGGTGCGGTAAATCAAATGGAGAGCTGAATCACAGGCAGTTATATATGAATGGTGGCCAGTTTTCACTGGCTAGTACATGGAAGGGGTGAAGAGAGAAGATTAAAACATAGCCTGTAGATAGGTAGAACATGGACGACCTTGAATGCAAAGCAGAAGAATTTGGGTTGTTAAACTCTGTGTGTAGAGCAGGGTGGGGAGGGATGGAAGGGTTTTGAGCAGTGGGGGAGGGTGACATGATCAGAGCAGACGAGGTAGAGTTCAGCCAGGGTCAAGATCAGTATGGGTTGGACTAGTTGGAGAAGACAGGTATGAAATTCTCCACATAACTAGGTTGTGTCAGGACAAGGAAGCATTCCCAGCAACTTCTTTCTTGGGGTAATGTTTAAAATCATCAGGCGTTATATCAAATTGCTTACTGTCTTAGGGAGGAGGGAAGAGAAGGAGGGAGGGAGAAAATTTGGAATTCAAAATTTTATTTAAAAAATTAATGTTAAAAATTGTTTTTACATGTAATTGGAAAAAATAAAATACTATTTAAAAGAAAAAAATCACCAGGTGAATTCCCATAATCACACTCATTCTGTCTTATTTCCTTACATTTTTTTTTAAGTTACTATATGGAAAATGGGCCTGTGAATTAGTCCTAGATCTGTGTTTGCAGTAGATTCAAAGCTGAAGGCATGTATCATGTGAAACAATGATAGCATATCAATGCCCTACCTATGGGATAAGTTTCCCAAACCACCTGATCATCTTTTCCTCTTCAGATATGCTTTTGGCTAATACTGCCCTCTGGGAGATAGCGTGGTATAACGTACTGAATGGATGGACTTGCAGTTATGAAGGTCTGAGTCTGAATCTTTGCTCAGGTGCCTATGAGCTGTGTGACCTCTGGTGAGTCATTTAACTCCTTTCAACATCAGTTTCCTCATCTGTAAAATGGGGATAATAAGAGCACCTACCTCACAGGGTTGTTTGAAGATCAAATAAGATCATATGTGCGATATGCTTCACAAACCTTAAAGAAGCTTGTCATTTTTCAATCCTGTCCAACACTTCATGGCCCCATTGAGATTTTCTTGGCAAATATACTGGAGTGATTTGCCATTTCCTTCTTCACCCATTTTACAGATGAAGAACTGAGACAAACAGGGTTAAATGACTTACTCAAGGTCACACAGCTAGTAAATGTCTGAGGCCAGATTTGAACTCAGGAAAAGGAGGCTTCCTGACTCCAGGCCCAGCACTCTATCCACTGCACAAACCTTAAAATGTCAGATCATTATGAGTTATTATTGTTGATGTTGTTATTGTCTCAGAGCGCATATCCTGACTCATTTCCCCTGGCATTTCAGGAAGGTATGCCCCAGACACTGAGTACCACAAGCATGGTGACTCCCTGTGGCTTCAGCCCCCATCTTCATTCATCTGGGGAGCAAGGAGGACTGATCTTTCAAGATGGAAACTTGAGCTCAGCGTCGCTCGATGCTTTGATCCAGCACCTCATCCCTACTACGGATTACTACCCAGAAGTGAGTGATCAACTGGGTAGGGAGTATGATGATGGAGATCTGTGTACACACACACACACACACACACACACACACAATCCCAGCAGTTTTTGAGGAAGGGGGGAAGATTTTGCATTGACTGTACCAGAGTTAAAGAACAGAAAGGGGTAGGGAGTGCCATACAGGCTCCCCAAATTTGGCACACTGTGGGGACTACTTTTTTGTGTGGAACAAAAAAGGGAGCATTTACTTCCTAGGGCAATGAGCCCTTGGGTGTTGTATATTGGACACCTGGATGATAGGATCAAACATCATATGTTTAGAGCTGGAAAGGAACTCAAAGGGCAACTAGTCTAATCCCCTCTTTTTATAGATGGGGAAACTGAGTCCCAAGGAGATTAAGTGATTTGCTCTTAATCACACAGGTAATAAAGCATCAGAAAAGGGATCAGAGCCTATATAAGCTCCAAGTTAACTTCATTCTTGTAACTATTATCTTATCCAGAAGGGAGGGGGGTGTGTGTGTGTGTGTGTGTGTATTGAGATTTAATACCAGTGAACTAGCCGATTCAAAAAGATTACCATTAATCACTCATCCTTCCCCTGGGAATGACAATAATTAATAATAATAATGATAAATGATATTTTTAGTACTTTGCAGTTACACCATGCTTAATATAAATTATCTCCTTTCAGCCTCACAATAGCCCCATGAGGTAGGTACTAGGTATTATCTCCATTTTGCAGATGAGTAGACTGAGGCTTAGAGGGGTTAGGTAATTTGCCCAGCATCGCACAGCTAGTTAGTGTCAGAAGCAAGAGATGAAAATGGGTTTTCCTGGCTCCAATTCATGTACCCAATTCATTATACCAAGTAGTGTTGTAGTTCAGTTGTTTTAATCATGTCTAACTCTTTGTGACCCCATTTGGGGTTTTATTGGCAAAGATACTAGAGTAGTTTCCTATTTCCTTCTCCAGCTCATTTTACAGATGAGGAAACTGAGGCAAACAAGGTTAAGTGACTTGCCCAGGGTCGCACAGGTAGTAAGTGTCTAAGGCCAGATTTGAACTCAGGAAGATGAGTCTTCCTGACTTGAGGCCTGGTACTCTAACCATTGAACCACCTAGCTGCCCAGTAAAGTGATATGCTTGGGAAAATAGTAAAGGCCTCCCTATGGGGCCTCATGCAAGTCCCTTAACCTCTCTGGTTCTCATCTGAGGATTAAAAGTATTGGATTAGATGGCTCTCTCAGGTCCACTCCAGATCTAAAGTTCATTAATTCCATGCTCATATCAGGCTTTCCATTTGAATGAACGTAGGGGCCAAAGCCACATGACAAGTAGCATGACAGTGGATAAAGTATAGGACTTGGAATCAGGAAGACCCGGGTTCAAATCTTAACTGGGCTGCTTGCTAGCTTTGTGGCCTTGAGTGAATCACTTAACTTCTCTTAGCTGAATTTCCTTATCTGTAAAATGAGGAGGTCATATATGATAGTGTCCAAGGTCACTTCCAACCCTAGGTCTATGAGCCTATGGCCTTTAGTCAGTGTAAAACTGCAAAGGGACATAGTAGACTGTGGCAAATCATGTAGGCTGAGACATTTGGGGTGTTTCTGGAGTTTCTACATCAGCTTTCCCCCAGCAGTTTTATCAATGGAAAATGAGTGCGTGCAAACTCATTCCAACCCCAGAGGCTGTTTGAGGGTGTCCCCTAAACCAGTAGCTATATGATCATCCTCTCCAAGCAGGACGAAAAGGGAGGGTCTGGGGACTAGGGCAAGAAATCTCAGTAAAAAAATAAAAATCAGGCCGTTTTACTAATAAACAAGAAGGATTAGAAAAACCTACCTAGCTCTGCAGCCAACTCTAAAGCCACCCTGCATAATCATTGAGAATTCTCACTTGGACCAAACAGGCACACCTGGGCAATGTTCCATGGGATGATGCCCATAAGACCTTATGAATGAAAATGCTTTTGCATCTTTTAGCTCTTTAGAAAAGAGCAATCACTCTGTGAGGTAGCAAGAACAGATGTTGTTATCTCCATTTTGCAGATGAGGAAACTGAGGGGCTAAAAAGGGGGACGTATCAGTGAACCAAAAGGTGTTTACTTAGCACTTACTATGTGGCAGGCTCTATGCTAAGTGCTGGGGATGCAAAGAACGGTCAACATAGTCTCTGCCCTCAAAGGACCTCACATTATAATGGGAGAGGGGACAATATGTAAATACAGGATATATACAGACGAAGTAGAAGAGAGGTGATCTGACAGGGAAGGTACTAGCAGCTGAGGGAACCAGGAAACACCTCCTATGTGATGTGGGATTTTAGCTAAGACTTGAAGGAATCTAGGGAAACCAAGGCAGATGTGGGGAGCTGGAAAAGACCTCAGATTATCTAGTCCAGTGCTGCTAAAACTGTGGGTCACAACCCCATAGGGGGTCGCAAAAATTTTGGCAACGCTAAAAGGTTTTTGAACACGCAAAGACTAAAAATTAATTAAAAATCAGACTGTAATGAATCCAAGGTGTTTTTGGCAGCACTTGACCATGTTGCATCCTGCAACTTCACTGCAGCCTTGGTTCTGAACACAAAGCATACACACTTTGCATGCATGTCCTCAGGCCACACAACACCAACCAACGTTGTCAAAACCTAAAAGGGGTGGCAAGTGGGAAAAGTTTAAGAAGCCCTGATCGGTCCACCCTCTTCATTTTAAAGATGAGAAAACTAAGTCCCAGAGAGCTTAACTTACCTGCTTCTGGTTATACAGAGAGTAAATGCCAAAGCCAAGATTTGAACCCAGGTCCCCTGACACCAAATTCAGTGCGTATTCCACAGTATCATACTGCCTCTCTTACATGACTTATCTTGGGTCACACAGTAGCAGAGCTGGGAGGAGAACCCAAGTCACCTAGTTGCCAGACCAGTGCTCTCTCCTCTGCACTGAATTCTGTAGGGGTGTGATGCTTAGCTATGTAGGAAGAGAAGGCAAGAAGTGGAGTCCCTCGGCCAACTTGACCATGATTGGAGGGGAGGAGAATCTAGGCATCCCTCACTCTGGTCCTCTATCGGGGGAAGGGAGCAGAGTCCAAAAAAGAAGGGGAATCAAGAGTAGGGAGAAGTAAAGGTGGAAAATAAATCTTCCCCTTCCCAAGTGAGTGACCTGCCCGTGACTGTGCCTTTCTGTCCCTCCCCAGAAAGCCTACATCTTTACCTTTCTGCTGAGCTCCAGACTCTTCATCGAGCCCCAGGAGCTCTTGGCCCGAGTCTGTCACCAATGCATTGAACAGCAGAGACTGGATGAACCTGTGCTGGACAAGGTGAGCTGGTCTGGGGGCTACCTGGGCTCTAAGCAAACTCAGGAGGCTCTTGAAGCTAGGATGGAGACCTGTACTACACATGAGTCATATCAGCAGGATGCCTCTGATTTATTCTCTCTTGAGAGTAGGACGGATCACAAATTCATAGAACTGGGCAGTTGGACAGGACCTAGGGCCCTCTAGTTGAGCCCACAAACACCAGCTGGGGATCCTTCCTCCTGGCTCCGGGTGCTTTCGTTCCTGAGGAGGGGGCTCTCCCAGCCCAGAGAGGAATATGTTGGCCCCCAAGGACTGACTAATGTTCCCTTTCCCCTCCTCCTTCTTCTCCAAGCTGGTTTCTGTCAAGGTGAGATGTTAGGCTCACTCTGCCTGACCCCAAAGGGCTAGACTAGGAACAATGGACAGAAGGGCCGGAGAAGCAGATATCATTTCAATAAAAGGAAGAATTTCCCAATATTGAGAGCTATACCAAAGTAGAATAGCTTATGTCAGGAGGGAATGAAGACTTTTAAACTGGATGGTCACTCATTGGGAGTCACAGAATCCTAGAATTGTTTAGCTTGAAGGGACCTCCTAAGCTCTCTTGTCCAACTCCTAACTTATTGAAAACCTTCTCAACGACACCCCTTGGGAGTGGCTGTTGAGCCATGCCTTGAAGCCAGACTTCCAGTTATGGGGAGCTTACAGCTTTCCGAAGCATCCCATTCCATTTGGGATAGGGCTCGTTTTTTACCGATAACACCACATCTCTATTTTTCCTCTTAGTCACTCCAACCCTCTTCTGCTGGCTCTGCGTTCTAGGGCCATGCAGAAACAGACTAATTGCTCTTTCACATAATGGGCTGCCACATTCTTGAAGGACCATTATCAAGTCTTCTCTGAGACTTCTTCTCTGCAGCCTAAATGGCCCCACTTCCTTCAGATGATCCTAAGGTAATGTAGAGCCAAGGCCCATCACCTCATGGTTTCCCTTTTCTGAATGCTATCAGCATTCTTTTTAAACTGTGACCTCCCAGACCTGAGCGCAGGTCTCCTGGTACAGTGAGAATGAGACAGAGTACAGGGTGACTATCACCTTCCTATGCCCCAAAGTTCCTCCTCTCACTGAGAACCACATTTTGGCTGCCCCATCGCACTACTGGCTCTGTTGAGCTTGTAGTCCGCTAAAGCCCTCAGATCTTTTTCAGACAAACTGCTGTCCAGCCATGTCTCCCTCATCATTATAAAGTTAGGCTTTTTAAAAAATTTTCTGAAAAAAATATGTAAAATAAAAAAAAATTCTGCTAAGAGATAGGTTGGACATGATGACCTTTAAGCTTCCTCTCAACTCTGAGATTCTATGATTTTATAATTTGTCCTAAGCATGTGACCACAGGAGTTTTGCCCAGCATTTTTCTCCCCTCGTCCCTTAATTCTTGGTATGTGTGGAAGCTGCAGAAGTCACAACTGAACTCTGCATGAATCTCATTTCCAAGGTGTTCAAAGCAATCTAGACACGTGCTGCTGCTGCATCTCGTCCCAGGCCCTGGCCTGACTTTGAAAAGGTCACTTGGGTTCTCCAAGGAATGAATTAGAGAGTTATTTAATAGGTGAGAGCAGAGAACACCATGACCAGCCCCAGCAGCATGGGGGGGGGGGGGCCCGGCAGCGTGAAGAGGGTCGGCTCCCTTCTGTTCATTAATGCATCATCACAGGGCCTGTAGGGGAGGGGGAACATTGACTGGTGCTGAAAGGTCAAAAGCCCTGTATTGAAGTCAGAAGACCTGGGTTTGAATCCTGGCTCTGACACTAGCTGTGTGACCTTGGACAAGTCACATAAACCTCATAGGACTTCAGGTTCCTCATCCATAAAATGGAGATAATAATGATAATGATGGTGATAATGATGATGATGGTAATGATGAGGATGATGATGAGAGGCAGTACGGCAACAGTGGAAAGAGACAGCTTTGGAATCAGGAAGAGCTGGGTTTAAGCCCTGCCTCTGCCGCATAGTGGCTCTGGGGGGCTGGCTAAGTCATTTAACTTGTCAGTGCCCTGTTCTGTAGAACACTAGAGGAAGGAGTTTCCACACTGAGAGTTCCCTATGCCAACAAAATCACAGATCTGGACTGGGGGGGGAAAAACCAAAACTAATATTCCTATTGTACTCTAAAGTTTGCAAAATGCTTTACACACTCATTTGTTCTTTATAGCAGACTTGTGATATAAGAGCCATAGGTATTATCTCCATTTTACAGGTGAAGAAATAGAGGCTGAGAAAGGTTAAATTACTTGTCCATGGTCAGAAAGAAACTAGGCATCCAAATTGGGATTCAAACCCAGGTTTTCCTGGTATCAAGACCCATAGCTAACCATTCCAGAGATGAAACCACACCGTGGATGTAAAGCACTTGTTCTCAGCCCCAGTTCTTCGGTCATATCTGTTGTCATCCTCACCCCGCCCCACCCCCAGCCTCGGGGTGCTCTATGGTTTAGGGAATGTCAGGAGGGACGTGAGAATGACCACTTGTCCTCTCATCAAGTGCTCTTGACCCACAGGGAGGTCTGCAGTGCCCGGACATTTGTTCTGAATCAAATGAAATGGTGGCCTCCCTGGCTTTGTGCAAACCCTTAGGCAAACATCAAGGGCATTCAGCCTCGGCTCACCTGGCCCAGCCTCCTTTCCCAGCCTGCGTCTCCGCTGAGCCCAGGGAAACACCACCTGCCCAGGCGCAGGGCTCCCTGCGAGTGGCGCTCCCGTTCCCAGACTGCCTTTGCCTAGTGCACGGGGATTGGAGGACCTGCTTTCAGACGGGCAAGGTCTGAATCCTTCCAGCTGCTTCCCATCACAGAGGGCTTCCCTTTAGCAGGGAATAAGGAAGAGAGAGCAATAGGTACTTCCACCCACAGGAGCATCTGGCCTCTTTACCAGGAGCCCACCAGGAGCCGTTTGTAAGCCAGTGTTCACAGAGGCACCTTCTTTCAAAGTCGTTTTCATGGGGCTGGGGGCTGGGGGTTTAGGGGAGAAGTGGAAGGAGGGTGTGAAATAAACAACCATGGCCTGTTTTCCTTGCACAGTAGGGAGGCCTTGATTCCTATTTACCCCCTCGTGTTTATGTTTTAGGCCCGGGTCCGAAAATTTGGTCCCAAGCTCCTGCAGCTGTTGGCAGAGTGGACAGAAACATTCCCCTATGACTTTCAGGAGGAGAAGATGGTTGGCCACCTGAAGGACATGATTCGCCGAATTGCACCCTGTGATGAGGTGAGGGAGTCGGCAAGCATGGGCTGACTTCATGCTCTTTCCCTCTGACTTTTGTATCCCCTGGCCCCACCCTCACCAGCTGTGGTTTACTTCATTCTTTTTTTTTTTTTCAGTGAGGCAATTGGGGTTAAGTGACTTGCCCAGAGTCATACAGCTAGGAAGTATTATGTGTCTGAGGCTGGATTTGAACTCAGGTCCTCCTGACTCCAGGACCAGTGCTCTATCCACTGCACCACCTAGCTGCCCCGGTTTACTTCATTCTTACAGTCTGTCCTTTAAAAAAACAATTTCAGCTCAATTCAGCACCATCATATTGCAAGAGGGGAAGGTGGGGAATTGACTTGTGATTTTATTGCTGTAAGGAATTTTTGCTGAGGAAATAGCATCTACCAACACATATAGTCAGTGTTCTGTAACTTACCTAAGTCTTAGAGAGTTGCCTATTACTTATCCAGGGTCACACAGCCAAAATGGGTCACAGACAAAACTTGAACCCAGATCTTCTTACTCCAAGGCTGTCTCTTTGTTTGCTATGTAAACTTCTTCTCTCTATCCCCATTTTACAGATGAAGAAATTGAGACTCAGAGAGGAGATGTGACTTCCTGAGATCTCTCTTGAGGTTACTAGGCATTAGAATCAGTTCTCAAATCCAGGTTTCTTTACAACTCCAAATACAGAAATCTTGCCACTATACCACACTTCCTTTGAAGATGGAACATTGGGTTAAGTGCTAGCGGAGATATGAGGTTTAGATGAAACTGAGTCTCCCTGCCCTCATGAAACTCACAGTCTGGTAAGGGAATAAGACAAAATGTGGTCAGTGCATGGGCAAGATACAGACCAATCTGTGAGGTGTGTGAGGTGAGGCTCAAGGCCAAGAAGGCCGCTTCCAGTCGGGAGGATGGGAACCAGACAAGGCTTCCTGGAAGAGACAGCATTTGAGTTGGTATCTAACAATTTTAACAGAAATGGTCTCTGTCCGTCCCACGCCTGTGGGTCCTCTCATGTTTTCCATGCTTCTTTTTTCCTCCTTTCCTTCCCTTTGGGGTCAGATTTGTTGCTTTCCCAGCTCTAATCACCAGCTGTCTTCTGGTTAGCTCCATCTGAATGTCCTATGAGCATCTCAGATCAGCAGGTCCCTCTCCTTAACTTCCTTCTTTCTGCTGAAGATGCCTTCATCCTTCTGAGCACTCAGGTTCACACCCTTGGAGTCACCCTCGCCTCTTTACTCTCCCCTACATGCCCATAGCCAATGAGTTGCCAAGTCTTGCCCTTTCTACCTCCACAATGTCTTTGACATCCATTCCCTTCTTTCCATTCACACAACTGCCACTCTAATCCAGGGCTTGTACCACCTCTTGCCTGGACTATTGCAATAGCCTACCCGTTGGTCTTCGCATCATCCAAAATGTCTACTCTGCAATCCATCTTCTACTCAGCTGACATAGGGATATTCCCAAAGCACATGCTGGAGCATATTACTCCCCTGCTCCAGAAGCTTCCATAACTCCCTATTGCCTCTAGGATAAAATACAAACTCCTCTGTTTGACTAAGCCATTCCCAAACTTACTCCAACTTCTCTTTCTGGGATGATCACAGGTTATTCTACTTGCTCTGGTGCAGAATATTAGATCTCTTTCTTCCATGCCTTTGTAAAACCTTTCCCCACTTTCTCTCTGCTTGCTATTATTACCTTTTGGAATTCATAGATTTCTCCAAGATCCAAGTCAAAGGCTGCCTCTTCTAAGATGCCTTTCCTGTTTCCCCTAGTTGCTAGGACTCCTCACTCCCCAAAACATTCTGTATGTATTTTGTATTATTTATCAGTGTTTAAAACGGCTAAGTGGCACAGTGGATAGAGCACCAGACCTGGAGTCTTCCTGACTTCAAATTTGACTTCCTGAGTTCAAACCTGGCCTAGCTGTGTGACCCTGGGCAAGTCACTTAACCCCGTTTGCCTCAGTTTCCTCATCTGTAAAATGAACTGGAGAAGAAAACAGCAAACCACCCCAGTATCTTTGCCAAGAAAACCTCAAATGGGGTCATGAAGAGTTCATGTCCACACTCTGAAGGGGCCTTCAACACCTTCTTCCCTCTTGTCCTTCTTGTCAGCTGAGTAAATCAAGGAGAACAAAAGCACTTTGCCTTTTGGATCCTTATCCTTTTGCTAATCTCAAGCAGTTCTTGACTGAACAGCCATGACACATCAGTGTAGATATTGTTTTCCTCCAGTAGAATATAAGCTAACTGAGGGTAGGGACTGGTTTTTATCTTTGTCTTTTTATCCACAGTGCCTAGCACGTTGTTGTTGTTGCTGTTCAGTCATTTCAGTCATGTCTGACTCTTCGTGACCCCATTTGGAGTTTTCTTGGCAGAGATACTGGAGTGGTTTGCCATTTCCTTCTCCAGCTCATTTTACAGATGAGGAAACTGAGGCAAACAGGGTGAAGTGACTTGTCCAGGGTCACACAGCTAGTAAGTGTCTGAGGCCAGATTTGAACTCAGAAAGATGAGTCTTCTTGACTCACCACCTCGCTGTCAGTAGACACTTAATAAATGCTTGTTGAGTTAAATTTACCTGAGAACTGTTTGAGATTAGCAAAAGGATGAGGATCTAAAAGGCAAAGTGCATTTGTTCCCTTTGGTATTCAGCTGAGCTTTGGACAAGAGTGAAGAAGGTGTTGAAGGCCCCACAGAATGCTGGTCTGAGGCCTGGCTCCACAGTGGGAGTTTGTCATTTCCCACGCCCCTCCCAGTCATGTGGCCAGGGCAAGAAAACAGGGGACAAGAGCTGGCGGTAACCTCTGGGAGTTAGGCCTAGTCAGAGCCCTTGGCTCCAAAATCCACACATTTCCACCTTAGGGACACCTGGGAGGGACAGGGGATTATGATGTATAATAGAATTCCTCTTACTTGTCTTCTCAATGGCTGGGGGAGGGGCTGGAGGGAGAGACAGAATTAGGAACTGAAAAAAATATATATTTTTTTAAACAGAAAGGAAAAATAAAGCTGAAAAAAATTTTAGAAGAATTTCCAGGTGATTGAAATAGAGGGTTCAGAATACATGAATGTCATGATTTCCTCACTGACTTGACCAAGAGGAGTGGTCTGTGCTTTGCTAAATGAAAAGATTGGCCTAACACTTGACCTTGATGCTTTCCCCAAAGTATGGATGAACAGGTCCGTTGTCCTGCTTCTCAAGAGAGCCACTTGCTGGGCCAGAGACGAGGGAACTCCATACACAGTGGGAGGACTTGGAGGGTTCTGGGGGATGTGAATAGGATTTAAAGTTGGGCATATGGGTGTATAGGAACTCTGAGAATTGACAACAAAACATCCACAATCCTCATTGCTGCTACTCACTGTGAATGGTGGAAGAGGGACAGGGGAAAATGCCATCAAAGCTTCTGATCCCATTGGGATGCATCAGGCTGCATCCCATTGGGATGCATCAGGCTGCATCGTCAATATGTTAACCACAGTGGTGAGATGAAAGAAGTCTGACTGGGCCACCAAACCTGGTTTATATTTCAGCCAGCTTTTCCTTGCTTTCTGTACTGGTGTATTCTGCCAGACTAGCTCATCTTTTATAGTAGTCACAGAGCAGTGTTCAAATGAGATAATTTTGATAAAGCTCTTATCACATGCCTTGCACATAGTAGGTGCTCAATAAATGCTTGTTCCCTTCTCCAGGATATTCAAGATTGGGGGAATAAAGGGCAGGTAAGGCTCCAAGAAATCTTTGGCTGTTTAGCAAAAGTAAAGATCTCTTCCCCACCGCCCATCTTCAATTTTGGTGTCTGAGTGGCCTTGGTCACTGTACCTCTGCGGAAGGCCGTCACAAGCTTCTAGAGTCTTTCTTTTCCCAGCTATTTTGTGTGGTCCTAGGTCAGGCACAAAGCAGCTCTAGAGCCAGGCCACAGAGCATATGTAAGAGAAGATTTAAGTGATAATGACATACAACCCCACAGTCAGCCTGAGAGCTAGCTGCATGTCTGACCTCCCATGACTGCTGAGATCAATCCCTTTTCACTGAGGCAGATTGCACAGTGGTAGACATCTTCAGTACACAGGGCAGCTTATTACCCTCCATGAATCTTCCAGGGGTAAATAAAGGTTTGGGTTTATGGTTCAACCATCTCATGCCAGATAGTTCCCTTTCGTCTTGAAGATAGATGTTGATGGATGTAGACGTTAAAAATCCACATTGTCAGCCATCTCTCTCTCTCTGCTCATTCTGTCTTCTCAGACTTTCTGCCTTTATCCTCTTGGCGTTACCTTCTATTCTTTCTCCTCTACATCAAACTTTCCTGTGGACAGTTCTATGTACATCACAGGCACACAATGGATCTCCCTCTGCTCCAGAGACTGCCATGCATTTTATTGCTACCTTGATTAATATCATGTCACTGGGATCCAGGAATGGACCAGACACCAAATGTGATACATTTCTGTCCTGGTTTGACTGATGCCAGGGTGATTCCTATTGAGGGCCACAGGATCAATGAGCTGGAACATGTGCTCATTTTGTGTCCCATTAAATCCGGATCATAAACATCAAGGATGAACATGAAACCATTGGGGATTGGCAGGTTTTAAAGGGCTTTCCTTTTATCACCCCTCCCTAACTACCATTTCCAACTAAGAGGAGGCTTCCAAATAACAAAACTGAGTTTGCTGTGGGAAAAATATGTTCTATAGAAAAGAGATTTCTATGTAGATGTCCCTGATTCAGAAGCAGGAGCTGATGGTCTTAAACACAGAAATCTATGTCATGACCAACCACTTATACTTGGTATTGGAAGTAGCTGCCTATTGAATGGAGAATGGCTAAACCAGTCATGGTACGTGAATGTAATGGGATATTACTATACTGTAAGAAATATACAGAGAAGCATGCAAAAACTATTTTTAAACATTTTAATTAATTTATTTTAACATTCTTTTCTTTTTAAATTTTGAGTTCCAAATTTTCTCCCTCCCACTCCCTCCCACAAG